CCAGTGATGGACGAATGGAAGAGGAACACGTGGGCGAGGCTTAGCCAGAGAAATAAAAAGTATTTATCGCGTCGAAGAGAAGGTGGAAAATTAATAAAAATTGTAGGGGGAGGGGGTGGGTTGAACAAGAAATTTAAGTGGGTGCGTGAATGTGATGTGGTGTGCTGTCATTTAAGGGTGGGGTCCACGTGATTTTCCTCTGGTGGGACCCGCATTTTCCAGAGGTTTCTGATGGCCCAAACAACCGGCCCAAGTCTTGCCACGGCCCATTTTATTGCGAACGAGATGGGCTCCACTTGTTATGTCTTACCTTACGTGCTGTGTTCAACTTCTTTTTGGAAAATAGTTGAGAGAATTTCTGTGTTTTTCCGAAAGTCTTTTGAATGACAAACTATAACAATTCCCTTGCGTTTTTTTGGTAATATATTGATTGGATTGAGAGTGCTTCTAAATAAGTTTTTCCATATTAGAAAATAAATCTTTCACAAATTGAAAGTAATATAAATTTGATTTTGAGAAAAGTATATAAGAAAAAAAGCACTAAAAGTACTTTGTGACATAGCACTAGTAATTTTTCTTTGAAAAATGTAAAACTAAACATCAAAGTTGTAAGCAATGTCCGAAGCACTTGTCCGTTAAATCCACCATGATTGGAAGTAAAATAACAATGTTTTTCTGCTGTGTGAGAGAGTACTTATAGAGTGCTCTTGATCTAAATGCTTGATTACTTCAAAAAAATACTTTTACAAGAGTAAAGCTAAATATTAAAGTAAATTTTTTTTTTTTAACTAAAAGCATCATTTACTAAAGTGTTTATGATTACAACATTTTTATTAGAAGTACTTATCTTAAAAGCCCTCCTAAATATTTTGTTCCGAAATTGGGGTTGAATGTTGGAATGGAAAATTTGTCATTTGGAATTTTCTTGCTTGTGGATCCATTAGGGGCGAAACTAGATAAGATTTTTCATTTGAGGACATATCCATAAACATGCAAGTCAGCAAAAAGATAACTACAAAATTTTTCCAATAGTTGCATATATGACAAAATAAGCTTTTAGTAATCTTAAAATACAATTTTGATCCCTGACGTTTGGAAAATGATTCTAAACAGTCTCTAAGATTCTTTAACAGTTAGTTGACTAACTTTAAAATGATGTAACAGTTGTGATGACTAATTTGACAAAATATATTAATTAAATAATATTTTTATGATGGTTGTATCATCTTCTTCCTTCTCCGATAAACTTCACCGACATTCTTTCGCCATCTGCCATCCATTTCATATTTTAAAACTTATTCTTCTATGGAAGAGAAAGAGTAATATCAAATTCCCTAGATCTACTTACTTTTAGAGACACCTATTCTCAACCTTAAAAGACATTTTGCTCCTATAGAAACAGCACTCTGGATTTACAAATGTAATAAGAAAAAGAAAAAATTTCATTCCAAACCTACTCACAAAAAATATTAAAATTATACATGTTCATCGGAATGAATGGCAATTAGAAATGTCTAAATTTCTAATTAGGCACATGAATGTTTTTAAAAAAGAGGATCATATTTGTAAAACTGTAATCTCATAGTTATGTTGAAATTTCTCCAAATTGAAATCATGAAAATTGAGGTCGTTACCTTTGCAATAAATAAAAAAATAAAAAAAGGTCGTTATATGGTAGGCGATCGCGGCCTCTGGTATTGATGGGCTGAACCATATGGGTTGGGCCTAATGGTTCCAAACTGGCACAGAGACTGAGCCAGTGGCTTGATATGGGCCTATACCCAGCTTCCTTGGGCTATTTAAAATTTGAAAGACATATCCCATCCCATAGTCCCCCTTTGACACAATTCGAGTGTGAAAATTTCTACATGAATAGCAAAACATAAGTATATATTTTCTTTTCCTCCTTTCTGTTTTTAAATAAAGAAGTATATATTTTCAAATATAGACTAAAGTTTGAAATTTTATAAAAATAATATAATACGAATCTTAAAATTAAATTAAAGTTTTTTAAACAATAAGGATTTGTTGAAAAAACACTTAAATATTTAGCATTTTTAGATAATAAATAATAAAGAAATACGTCTTTGTAAAGCCGCAGAAACCAAATGCTATTCTAAGACTTTTGACTTCGATTATCCGTTAAAATTGGACACGTGTACTGTTATTATTATTATTATTATTTAACAATCAAGTTTGCTCCAATTTGAATGCCACTTGACTTGCTGTTCCGGTTACCGGTAAAAAAATGCTTCGCGGTTCGTTTTATGTTGGGAGGTAGGGACATCGGATGTTTGATCAAGAATATGTCTCCCAGTCACTTTCTTCGCTTTATTCTCTTTTCATTACCTTAAATAAATAAAAAATAAAAATATCCATTAATATCTAAATAGAAATGACTTGATTAACAATTTCCTCGTAGGATAAAAAAAAAAGATTATTCTGTTAATATTAATATTACTTATTTAACGTTATCAAATTCCATTTTATTTTGTTTTAATTAGTTTGCAAAGTAATACTACAAATTGAACAAATATTATAGTTTGTGAATCTGATCAGGCTTATTTTTTTTCTAGGGAGTTAATAAAGGGATTCCATTAAACCCTTTCTATCATACATTATGGTTATTAATTTTAAAAGCAAAATAAACACRTAGAAAAGAGTTTTATTGCTAACTTGGTTAGCATTACCCCATACTTTCATGGTAAAAAAAGAACAATATGTTATTTACCTTTTAAATATGGTGTGTTATGTTATATTATTACTGAGTGAATAAAATTAACTGAATTAATATAATAATAGAACTTACACAGCTAAGTAAAGCGATGATGTGGAGTTAATTTAAATCTGTACTGTTTTACCGTCCAAATTCCAAACCACACACCTGAGAAAGGAAGTGGGAAAAGAAGAGAAAGTGAAAGAGAAAAGGCTCTGAGCTTCAGCTAAAGTGCATGCAAACAGTTGGAAAAATATTTTTTTGGTCTCTCTTCAAATTCCCCCTTTAATCATTACACAAAAAAGAAAAGGTAATTACTCCAAAAAAAACAGAGAGAGAGAGAGAAAAACTTACCTCTACAGAGACCGACTTGTAGGAACTTCGACTTAACTTTTTACTTCACATAGTAAGTAGAAATTCCTACTTACAGAGGATAAAATTAACTTTGATACTTATCTATGCATTATTTATTTATCACCGTGAAAAAATTGGAGTAGAGATAAAAACATAAAAAAATAATTAAAAAATACAATTAATAGTTATCAAATTTTTAATAATCGTAATCCGTATTTATATCCATTTACCGAAGCATGTAATATTGTTCCTTCTCTATCACTCAAAATTTGATAGCTATGTGTTAAAATTAAAACTTGATGCATGAGTTAGTAGGAGTATTTTCCACGTAATCAATAAAAACAAACAAATCTAACTGCATATTAGCAATTCTCTCAAAATATTTACATTTTGGCTTCACTGACACAAAATCATTAGGAAAAAAGAAGAATTCAAACCCAGAAAAAAAAAAAGAACCCGCATCCAAAATTGGAAAATTTGGTGGAAAACCAAAGGGGATTAATTTCTTTTCCTCATGACTAATTAAGCTTGATCTTCTTCTTCATCATTTTCATGGTGACTCATTTCTTTAACTTTCCCGCAAATTTCACCCGTCTCTTTGTGTGCGTTCTGAAGCTTAAACCCAGAAACATTGCAGTCCCTAAAGGAAGAAACTTTGGCGGTGACCGGAGTGGCCAAGAAAGTGGGCTTTTGGTCTCCGGCCATGATCACCAAAATCTTCTCTTCGTAAACCTTGGTTTCATCGCCCTTGCCGGAGTTGTTGTTCTTCTCGTGATTTTCGGCATTTTCACTCTCTAAATCTCTCTCTTGCCGCTCTCTCTCCTCTGATTGGACGGAGAGCTTCCAGTAGGAGCAGGCCAGAATCAGCAGCGCGAAGGCGATGAGCCCCAGCATCGCCGCCAGCCCGCCGAACAGGTACGGCACCGGGGAGTGCCACGCCGTGCGCTGCAAGACGGCCGTCGGTGGCGGCGGCGTGTCGGATGAGGCGGCTGCAATAGGTATCATACTGGACGGCGGAGGGAAAACGGATTTGAGGTTTTGTTGGGTGAAAATTTTATTTTAGAGGGTGCGGAACAGAGAATGGAAAGGGCGTATTTATAGGCCATGAAAAAAGTTTCCGGTTCGGTCTTTTCAGTGAAAGGAAAAAAAAAAAAAAAATTTCAATGTTGAATTACAAATTTACAAGTTTAGTTGTAAGTGTTTAATTTTATAACTAATAGATTTATGTGTTTTTTAGTGAGTTTAAACAAACGGAGTTAATCAAAATAATAATAAAAAAATCCTTTTTTGAGTTCAATAAAAATGAAAAGAGGAATTTTAACTAACGATGTATTATATGTATCGATCTATTATATGTGTATATTATTCTTGAACTAAATTCAGCAATAATCAAATATATAAAATTGGAACTTTCATATATGCATTACAATATTTTTAAAGTATACATTAGAAGTTTAAAATTTTGTTATAAAACTTTTAGAATTTATTAACGGCATAGAATTTAATAAAATGATAATTTTATTTGTACTTTTTATTTAATTAATTCTGTTATCATTACCCAAAAAACCAAACTATTAAATATTATCTATATTGCTCAATTGGTGGGAAGTGAAATTCTCACGGTCACGTGTGTCGTTAAACTAAAAAAATAATAAATCAAAATATATATATATTATAAACAATCAAAAAATATATTAGTCACTAGTCACGAAAATAGTTTCATCTAAGTTAATACTCTTAACGACAAATTTTCAACCAATAAAAAAAAACTAAAGTATTAATTTTATCACTCATTTAAATCACCACCAACAGATCCTAAATTTAGATTCTGCCACGTCGGTCGGCCGCACTTCATTTTTTCCTAATCAAAAGTATTATTTTATTCAATTTCGAAGGTTATTTTCAAACATTTACGGCAATCCATCCAGTTATGCTTCTGGTTATTTTCTGAATTTCTATTTACTTGGTAGATGTATAAAGTCAAGCTGGATAAACGCCGTCGGTTGGATTGCTCAAAAAACGACAGAAAGTAAAATATTTTTTAAGAAAAAAGATGAAAACGATGGGGAAATTATGATAAGGATGACGGGAGACGTACCATGATGCTCGAATCAGATCCAAACTTGTCAACCGTAATTTTAAATTTTTTATTACAAAAAAATATTCCTTATTATAGAATATTGCAATGTAATTGCATCACTACCCCCTTCAAATCTAGTGACATTTTATTCTCTCTCTTTTCTCTCTCTCTCTACATTTTGTACCTTCCTTTGCCATGTCTTCTTGGAGTTAATCTCTGTTTTGTTTTTCTTTTCTCTAAATATAAATAATCACAATTCACATCATGTAATTGGGTTATTGTATATGTTATAGATGGGTCAAGGGTCTACCACATAACCACTTGTTCGAGAACACGTGTCTCGGTCTCAACACACAAACATGTTAAGAACAAAGTGGAATTGACAAAAATAAATTTGCTGATTCTGATATAGAGAAGTCAGATGAATCTATAAAACGTCCGCTAACACCATATATATAGGCATTAGAGCCGACGGTCATTTGACATTTATGCTCCTATACCTGAGGGACATGCGTTACTTGGTGAAAGTTGTGTTCCATGTGACTTGAATCCAAGGTCTCAATATTTTATTGAGACCCCAAGCCACCTAAGCTATCATTGGGACGATTTTTAATATTCTTATTATAATCTACAAAATCTAACAATTGTACAATTTTGTAAAATTTACCGGCTAACTTTTTAATGTCGTAATGTTTACTCATACAATTTTTTACCTGATAGAGAGTCGTATCACATTTTATCAATCACTGTCAATAGTATTCACACGAAGGATAGATAAGTATATTTCAGATTAAATATTGAAACATAATGTTTTAAAATTTAAAACCTTTAAGCACATATATATTTCATCAAAAGTTGAAATGAAAATTACATTCCACAAAATATGAAAACAAACTTCATAATTTAACCTATCTGATCTCAAGTTTAATTACCCTTCTTTTTTATTTTTTATTTTTGCATAATTTATAATTAGGTCATTATACTTTTTTTTTAATTATATTGGTCTCTTAAATTTGAACAAAATTTTAATGTGAAGCAATAGTATTAAAATTTTAGTAAAAAATTGAGATGTGGAGGTGATTTTAATAAATAAATTAATATATATTAACTTTAGTGCATGTAAAAGGTGGTGTTACATGAGGTGGAATTATGCTGTACTGCCACTAATAATATCAACTTTCTAAGACATTCGAAGCTTAGTGGAAAAAATTTAAAAAGATTGTGAATATTCCTAGTAGCACTTTGTTTTAGTGTTGCAACATCTGGGGCATTTTAGTCCATATATATTATTTTCGCAACATGAAATATTACGCACCCACTAATCTAGATTGAGTGATGGATGATTTATAATGATGAAAAAATTAATGATAAAAGCTATACTATATGGTCTCTCTCTTAATAATATTGTCCTTTTGTTTTGTTATATGATTTGATCCTTTTTTTTTTTTTTAGCATGATTTGATTCCATTTGGGTCTCTTCTTAATCGCATCACTGTCAAATATAGCTTTATCTCCAGGTAATTATTATTAAAGTAACTGTCCAGTTTGCCCTCTAACATCTCTCTCTCTTTACCCCTTTGTTTTCAGTTGAAATATTTTACTTATTTTTAACCCCATAATTACTTGGTTTAAAATAAAGTTTGAACCTTAATTTTAATTCACGACTTCTGATCGGGACATATATTTTAATAAATTGAGATACGTTAGGTTGACGATTATATGTTTGGATAATTAAGAGTTGTTGGATAAGGTTTTTTTTACCTAATATGCTTTCATACCATTTTTTAGATCTTACCAAAATAAAAAAAGTACTTTTAAGAAGTGAAAAACTAAATTGATAAAATAGTAAATTGCAATAACAAAAATATAACGAAATGAAAACTTTTATCTTTTATGATAAAATGTTATATGATCCAGTTGTGCAATTTTTTAAATTAACTTTTACAATCTCATTATAATTTATAAGTGGTATATGCACCAATATAAACATAATTAAATAGGAAAAGGCACCTAAACTATTATGATTTTGAATCCCATGTCTCCCTATGTTGTGAAAGAAAAGGTAGTATATGCAATTTATCCAAACAAAATATTACAACTTTTTTTTAAATAATTAAAAACTAAAACCAAAACTAGATTCCATGTGAAATATGTAATTTAATTGTTCAACTAAATGATATAAATAAGCAGTTTAACTAAATGAGTTAACCAACCAAATTAATTAGTAATAAAAAAATAACCAATAACTCTAATGTCAAACTAACTTTAGTTAAGTACACCTGATACAAACTATCACAGGTATATAAGGACGAAGTGCGCGAACAGAAAAAAAGGATGTGGTCATTACAAATACAGTGTAATTGTGTTTAAATAACATTAAATATGTCCATTCAAACATTAGCTCAAATAGATAAAGAAATCTATTTATTACCATATTAAAAGTTGGATAGCTCGATCCTGCATCATTAAATTAAAAAACTATAAATGTAGATTCAAAATTTAAATATTCTAAAAAAAATTCATACAATAATAACAAAATTTATTTATTTATTTATTTATTTCTTCGGAATAAATAAAGTGGTTGAGTGGAGAGCATTAATGGTGCCAATGTCCAATAAAAACCGGTTGGGCGGCTCGTGAGTTTCGGTTGAACTTCACCGGTTTCTTGCGCCAAAGCGTTGACCGAATATTGGTGCCTGTGACACGGCATATGCCACCGGACCACCGACACAACAAAATATCAACATTAAGATTAACACAAAAACTTTACTTCATATCAAATTTCTTTAAGGTACATCCATATTTTTGTGGTACTAATTTAGCTTGATATTTAATTTGCAATCCGACCAAATATAAAAGTGAGGGTAATGATGATAATAGGAGTATTTATTATAATCGACAATTGATATGAAATAAAGATTGCTCAATTAAGAAGATTGATTAGTTTAAATGACTTGTTTTAAATTTCAATTTATTTGCTCTAATTTTATCCATCAACGACAATTTTAATACTGATTGTTTATTTTGATGTAATTAAACATTTTGTTTAAATGATGAGGAAGATTAATGTCTTTCCTAAAATTAATTGAGGAACAACTATAAAAAACAACTTTATAAATCACCCTAACTCAGTCAATGAATTACACAAGATCCAGGTAAAAATAACTACGAAATTGAACTTTAGAATATTGTTCTCTTAAAAGTAGAAGCTTGACTCGGGTTAAGACCATTAGTTTGATATAAAACTATAACTTCTTCAAAAGATATTCAGATAATTCATAAATTGATCAGGATATTGATAATGTGATCAAAGTTACTTTTCATTTTATAAAGAAGAGCTAACTAAAATAATGGTTAATTAATTTTCTAATACAACATAATATAACAAAAGTGCCCATATAAGTTTAGTTCAACAATAATTTGGTACGTGATTGTAATTAAGAGGGTCATGAATTCGAAYTGCCTCACACTGTATTGTTACATAATTTGGTTGTTAAGGAAATACATATTAAAATAATTCCTAKAGACRACAGTGGTAGAATATGAACCAATTATCATTAACTCCCTTTAATGGCTATTTTGGATAAATGAACAAACACATGACGATTTATAAGAGACAACTCATTGATGAACTATCTTAATAACTCAACATTCGATCGATAACTACCAATGTGAGAGATTAATCCATTGAAATATCTCACTTTTAACCATTCGTAAATTGACACATGTATCTCGCGGTCTTTACCATATTTAATAAAATTAAAATATATATATATACACTTTAAAAGTATGTGATGAAAGCACTACAAAACTYGATGATCCAAAAAAAATCCAATAAAAAATATATGCGAGGAGTTGGGCTGTGAATTGAATGGAATCCTATCACTTTATTTATGTTGTTCACGTTACTTTTTTATTGTAATCAAGTAGATATTTGAGTAAAGATAGGACTAAGTTGAAAAACTGAGTACTGGTGTTAAGATTAAATCCAATCGCAGATGAAAAAGACAGAAACCACAATAAAAGGAATATTTATTATTTATTAGAAAAAACAAAAGAAACGATTATATTTAAGGAAATGAGTGGGGCCCAGCGAGCACAAGCGATCCGTCGTTTCCCATTTGTGGTGTGCTTTGTCACCCACTGAGTCCCTGTGGGCCCCACTTCTTCCGGCATCGGACGCGGTGGGCCCTTGTTTATATCTGGATGGCGATTGGCCGAATCGGAGACTGGGCAAGACGCGCCGCCACTATGTGGGCCCCACAGAATTACATCCTCAAGCATTTGGGTCCCGCATTTTCCCTTTTTTCTTTTCAGTGGGGCCCAGATTTCGCACCACCCTATCGCTTGCTTTCTCTTCTTCTTTCCCATATTCTCGCTGTGATCAATAAACTAATAATTCAGTTATGATCAAATTTGTATTCAAATTCAAATTTAATTCACCTAGTCCATCAACTCCAAAAATGAAAAATTTTATTTATGTTCGTAATTTTTTTTATTATACTTAGTTTTTGTCATGGTTTTAAAGAGTCTTCAACATTGATATGAAAGATAAATCGATATTTTTATAATTTTACAAAACAATCGACAAAATATAAAAGCCATCAACAAAATTTTACTTACTAATATATATATATAAATTTTGAAAATTTTTATTTTATTTATAGATAATAAAATGATTATTTGTTAATTTAAATATTTTATTTCGAGTTTTTATTTTTATTTTTACAATTATTTTCATAAATATTCATCGACATCGACATTTTATTGATATTTATTTCGATATTTCCATGAAATTGAGACATCGACGTTTCCATTGATATGAACATTTAAAACATTGATTTTAGTTGATTGCATAATATATTAATAGAATATTGATTGATAAATTTTAGTTAAGTTTGGTGGGAGATAAAAATAGATAAACTTTTAAGTTATTGTTCTTTTTGAAAGTCTATGAATTTTTAAAAACCAATTATTATTTTTCGCCTTGCAATGGTATATGATATTGAAATAAATTTTTTTGATGAACTTAAATTGCAAATATGTCTATTCTCTTGAATTTATAAAATTTCATTGAGAGAAGATATAGAAAATTAGAAATCATGAAAGATCGTCTGAAAATAGTGTAAGAGAACTATTTATATAATTGCATACCAATACCGACTCTTAAATTAAATGAGCCACAAAATTTGAAGTTAACCTTAACAAAAATAACTGAAAATTTAGCCGACTCTCAAGAGACAACATAGATGATGTGAGTTATAAAGGTTTGTATCTATATTATTCCTAAAACTAATTAACGAAATGACAACAAATAAAAAATGGAAAAACACCCCCTTTATATTATACCTCTCCAATAATCAATGTTATCAGCAATAAAGACAGAGATTTATTTAAACTAATTTAATAAATTCAAAAAGTAAAGAAAAAAATATTATAATTAAATGATGTACTAAATGAGATAATTAATACAATAATTTTTTATGGGTCCATTTAACATCATCTTTTTTTTTTAAATAAATTTAATTAGAGTGTGCTCTACTTGGTCGACTAGCTTCAATCAACCAAGTGGCCAATCTACTGTGTGGTGGATGCATTTTTTTTATAAGAAAATAAATTAATCCATTTTGATGGATGCCTTATTTATTTAATTTAATTAAAAATCACTTGTCCACTTTCCTAACCAGATATTCTCTTTTCTGTTAACGAAAAAGCCACTGGGAAGTTGAAAAGGCTGCTCTCTAATTTGATTCTTTTCTCTCTCTCTCTCTCTTTTTTTAATGTCAACTTTATTATATAATTAGATAAATATTCCTCCTCTGTACTTTTCCTTTCTTTCTCTTATTTATTCGTTACTTTATAAAATTATATATTACTGTAATCAATCATTGGTTTGGTTTCCATCAAGAAATTAGAAACAGGCACCCAAAAATAGTTCTCAAGATGAATTGTAAAACATTGCTTGATAATATTATGATTAAACAACGTAATAAAATAAGGATAAGACCTGTTGATGTGATATTTTGATGGGCATAAATAGTACGAGTTGGTGTTGAGTCTTAACTTAAGTTATTCAGAAGGAATTACGTACATTTGAGAATGTGAGATTATGATTTTCATAGGGGAACATTAGGAAGAGTGGCCCGCGATTACGTGTCAGTATCTATCATTTAGCGAATCTTTCATGGGTAGTCAGAAGATCATCTGCTAGTGGAATTGACATTACCGACGGTCAGCAGATTTCTTGTCGACTATAATGTTTTCAGGTCAGAGCAGAGCTGAACCATACGTCTAGACATGTGAACCACTGCCTCCTCATCTTAGATGTAGCCGAATTGGTTCTTGGACACACACCTAACAATAGAAGAGCGCCACGTGTCTACATTTGGTTTTACCCCTAACAATAGAAGAGCGCCACGTGTCTACATTTGGTTTTACCCCTATCAAAAGATTGATATCATCTATAATGAGTACGAGCTTAAAAAAAGATTATATTGATATGTTTTTGCAATTTTAAAGAAATATCTAGAAACAACACAAATATACCCACCAAACAAGATTAAAAAGATATTGTAAAGACAAATACTAATAGAAGATATTGAAAACGAGATGGGGGAATAAAATCATATCTAATAGACCAAACATAGTACAAGAATCAATGTAATGACGATAAATTATATGAAAAATTTGCATTTCACCAAATGGATAACAAAAATTGCACTCTTACAAAGTGAGATAGATATAGGGGATGGAATATTTTGGTACCACAAACATAAAGAAAATGAAAGAAGATTTAGTTTTGGAATATTACATCACCACCATCATGTATCATAGACTACTTGGTTAGAAAATAGAATTTAAACATTAGTTTATACTTCCAAACATATAAAATTTCAAACACAAAATGATATTGTTATCGCTATCCCTTGAAATAAAGGTGAGTGGATTAGGGAAAATTCAATTCAAATCAGCTGAGCTTTATCAAAATATCTGAGTAAATAATTTGATTTAAAGTTTAGGAGTGATGTGTTTATCAAATTGGAAACTAACAATTTTAAGTCAAAGCTCACATGTTGGGCCTCGTTTACTTGTCCAATAATAATGGGCTCGATTTTTGATAATAGGCCGAATATTTGTAATAAGGCCCAATAGAAAATAAGGCAAAGGGTAGCCACAATCTAAGAAAAGATTTGGTTTTGGTCAAAGAAATCAGACGGTCGGAAATGAATCTGAGAAAAGGGAATAGCGTGTGTTGTGGTTACTAGATTATTCCCGTGGACTCGTCCCCGCGAAGAATCAACAGGCTTACATTGAGCCACAAGGGCTCAGACCTGTCGCAACAATTACGCGCCACGTTCATCACTCTCTTCTTCCCCATTTGTCTGCAAACCAAACTGCTTCAAAAGTAACAACCTAAACTTCTCTTCTGCTGCTTGATCGTCGGCTAATCTTCGGTAGGAACAAGGAGAGATTAAGATTATATAGAGAAAAATATTTGGCTATATAGAAGTAGCGGACGAGGAATTGGAAGAAGCTAATCCGAAATGAGTTCGACCGTTTCGCGGTTGATCCATTCAAGATCATCGATTCCCAAGTTATAGTGAGTTCATTCCATCTTAGAACAATCGTTTTTCTTCAAATGGTGAATTGTTTTTTTCTTTGATAAACTTCCCATTGAATTCGTGTTCGCCGTTTGTATTGTACTATACTTCTGCTACGCGATTATTTAGTTCATCAGAAGTGTATGGAATTCGGCACCAATTGAGTTTGGAGGGGGGCGCATCATGCTGTTTATGTATGTCGAATTTCGTTTGGATTTATTATTGGTCTGTTTGCACTATTGATTTCATAGGTTTCAGGCTCTTTTGATAATGTTTCACATTGTCGAACTGCTCATCATTGTAGCAACTCGAAGCGGAACTGTTTCCTAGAGAATTGTAATTTTTAGGGGTTGCTCGGTTTATTGGTAGTCAGATTTGAATTCACTAGGGATAAAATTGAGAACAATATGATTGCATTCGCATCCAATATTAATTGTGCAACACCCACGACCTCCTCCAGCTTGATCAAATCTGGATATTCATTCTTTATTTTGGTGGTAAAATCCAGATGTCAAGAATAATTTCCCCATTATAGCTCTTTTCACTTAATGTGATTAACGGCACTCATTTTGTCGTTTCTGAACTATATTGTATAGCACAATGGCTGCTTCAAGGGGCGGGAGACCATTTTCAACAGACTCTAACAAGGTTGACGAGCCGTTTAAGGTCGAGGAAGCAGAAACAATTAATGTTCCTCCACCTCCAACTGAGAAGGTATATAAAATGAAGGCTAAGTGATGTAATGAGATTCTTCGAGAGCTTTAGGCTACTCCACTTGGGGTTATTTGTAATTTTCGTACTTCCCCTCCATATCTTTAACTTTAATCTCTGTTATCTTCCTGGCGCATGCATTTGATCAGTTGCTGGTGCTGGGTGGAAACGGATTTGTGGGCTCTCATATCTGTCAGGAAGCTCTAGATCATGGTCTTACAGTTGCTAGCCTTAGTAGGTATGTTTCTAGCCTTAGTAGGTATGTCTCTAGAAATGGCAGTGCTTGTTACTTAATGAAAATGTACAGGAGAAGTCAGCTCAAAATGAACATGATTATAGATGGGGAAGTAATGATTTGAGTTCCTTTCTGTTGTTTAATGAGTGAGAACTTCAATGCCTTTGTTCAATTTGCTAGTGTCAGGAACTCCACGCAGCCATCATAATCATTGGTGTTTTATTATTATTGTCAGGTCTGGTAGATCATCAATACGTGATACTTGGGCTAACAATGTTATTTGGCATCAAGGTTTATTTCTATTGAAGATGTTCTTATTTGCCATATTTGTGGGATATCTTAATGCCTCAACTCTTTTCCCATTGCCAGGAAACCTTCTTTCACCTGATTCATTGGATGAAGCTTTCAACGGTGTTACAGCTGTTGTATGTAGTCCTCAACTTATTTGAATGTTTAGAAAACGATTAAAATATAAATTAGTTACAGTTTTCTGACATTGCTCCATAGATAAATGGAATGATTCGAGTTCAATGTGTGCCCTCCCTGATTAACTATCTAGACATTTTTGGCGGACTTTCTAGAAGCCATTACTTTCCAATTGTAATCAGAAACAAACTTATTTATGTGGACAACTACAAAATTATAGATTTATCCCTTTTGATTTCTGCATATATAACATTTCTTATTCCTGCAAAATTATTTCCCTACTTGTGCTGTGGATTAATCAAGGGAGGATTTTCTTGTTCACAAGTTTTGGTAAAATTTTAGTTTTATAATTCTAGGTCTCTTGCATTGGTGGTTTTGGCTCTAATTCTAAAATGTACAAGATCAATGGGACGGCAAATATCAACGCAATCAGAGCCGCTTCAGAAAAAGGTGCAGTTGTTTACGTGGCAATCTAGATTCTGTCTGTCTCCTGTCAAAACTTAAATCTTTTCAATCCTTTGCAACTCACCTCATGTTGATAACACCATTTCTTCTCCCCGGTAATTTTCTATATGTCATGTGTCTCTGTTGATGTGCATTGAGTGCCACATGATATTAACAATATACAATTTTGGTAACTGCTCTTATCACAAAGTAATTGTAATGCAGATATCTCTGTACTAGTAATTCTGATGCAGATTTCTCTGATGCTCAAGTATTCCTCTTAGAATCTACAACTATCTTTTTCTTTCTTGTTCCACAGTTTTTTAGTTGTATCCTAACTGGATGTTCTGGTCTCACTGTTTAAAAGGTCGTATCAATTATTTTTAACTTCAAGATCTTGTCAAATGATTTTATCCTCTTTAATACTTGTTATACTTGGGGACTCTTACCAAGGCAAGACCTTTGTCTTACAGGTGTAAAGAGATTTGTCTATATCTCTGCTGCTGATTTCGGCGTGGCTAATTACTTGCTGCAGGGATATTATGAGGGAAAGGTAGTGTTCCTATTCCCTTGATTTCAGGAGCTGATAAGTAATCATAGATCTTGGACAGTTATATATCATGTAGTCTGTTAATGCTGTCCTTGATCTAATCAAAAAACGGTGGAGATCTTATAAGGAAAAAAATTGAACACTGAGGGAGGAAATGACTTATTTAACTATTACCAGAAATGTGGGATCACCAATCTTTCCTTTTTGTGCAGATAGTAGGTCTATATTACATTGTTTTCTTATAAAAGTCCTTCTCATGACTCATGATTTGGATCGATGTGGCTCATGCAAAATCTGTGTTTTGGTTTGTGCAGCGAGCCGCTGAGACAGAACTCCTAACTAAATTTCCTTATGCAGGTTAGGCTCTTGTCATTGCTACTGTCAAATTCTTAACTCTGTATTTATAAGGTGCAGTTCAGATATATCTGTAAGACGAATGTATTCTCCTAGCACTCTTTCATGTAGCTGCTGGAAGCAGATCTTGCTTATTGGCTTTCATGAACCTATTTTTTTCTAAATTACATAGTATTTTACTGTTAGCAGACCAGTGTAGACTAAAGTATCAAGTAATTTACATTTTCAGGAGTGATTTTGAGGCCTGGATTTATTTATGGGTCCCGTAATGTTGGGAGCATGAAGTTACCTCTGGGAGTAATTGGTTCTCCTCTGGAAATGGTAACATCTTGCGATTTCTTCTTTTTTCCCCTATGCCAATCCGCTCGGACTATGAAATTATGTCTCAGAGTTCCAGTTTTAGAAATTGGTCAATGCTTTTAGTTTCTTTTTCTTCTTACTACCATCATTAGTTTAAATATACTTAAAACTAAATTAAGTGAGGTCTCTAAATATTAAAATTATCTGTTTAAATATAGAAAACCCATAATTGGTAGTATCTACATGATTCATGAACTCTCTATTTCAGATTTTTTCAGCTTCTAGAGCAACATGAACCTGGTTTATCTCTACTTCTGAGTATATTATTTTTCTGATGATTAAAATACACACAACATTCAGAACTCTTGATCTGATTAAGTTGTTGCATGTATCAGTGACTGCTAGTGAATTTACATCATATAAAGGGCATAGCAAAACAAAGTATTTGGTCAAGAAAATTAATGCCCTTGCAATCCAGTTTTCCCGTTCACCAAATAAATATTTCACTGCAGGTTCTTCAACACACAAGGGCCCTAAACCAGATACCACTGGTTGGTCCTCTGTTTACTCCTCCGGTAAACGTTACGGCGGTGGCAAAGGTTTCTGTTAGGGCAGCAACAGACCCCGTCTTTCCTCCAGGCATCATCGATGTTTACGGCATTCAACGTTATAGTGAACACAAGTCAAAATAGATTCGATAAGAGACCTTGAGGCGTGCACACTTTCTCATGCTATCGTATTTATATATTAGAGAATCCATTATCTAAACATTAGTTGATCTTCTCACTTGATGGGGTTTTACTTGACATCTTGTGTACTGGGTTGGAGATTGAAGACGTTCATTTTCTTGTATCTGGTGCAAATAATATCATGCAGAGATCTGCAAATTCATTTGTCTACCATTTTATTTTCTCCTCTTTCCATTACAATTATTGGGAAAGGAAGTATCTTGAATGGCTAGATGTTTAAATGAATGCAGTGTTCTCTCCTGTGTTGGACTGTATTGCATTACAATCGATGCTGCAGCATTTAGAATCCCCTTCATAGTTTTGAATGTTTATATTTCTTCCAAGCGTGTAGCCTTTTTGAATAATAATTATTGGATACAAAATAGTGATCAAATTTATTCAGATATAGATTTTACTTCACTAGGTTGTTGTATGGTATGGACATTTGAATTAAATAGACCCTCTCATCTGTATTTTTCTAACCATCAAATTAATTTTTTAAGAATAAAATTTCAACACTTTTACAATGGTTATTGTATTGACTCGTGTGTGTGTGTGTGTATATTGTTGAATATTAAATGTAAAATCATGAGAATGTAAAGGTTAAAGTGGCCCTAATTATTTAGGGTTAACGAAGCTTAAAAATCAAGCACTGAGTTAATAAAATAAATCCTATTTTTAGAGTTTCTGAAAATGTTGTTGTTGTTCTGGAACCTTGTATATAAATCTGTCTTGGTCCAACACTCCAACACTATTGCATATATAAATGTTTCGAAGCATAGCTTAATTCAAAGCAATTTGAATGTAGTTTAACAAGAGGTAAATTACTATTGAATTAAATGTAATTTGGCCTTATCAAAAGGTCGAAATAATATAAAGCAAATTTGGGTTCCTCAAATACCATTAGCTTGACAAAGGTTTTGGATTTTCAATATTCTTCCATTGACTGTAAAAAATACAGTTTCAAATGGAAAAAATGTAATTTGTAATTCAATTGTGAGAATTTTTTTTTTTTTTGGTGTTATACTGATTTTTAAAGAAAAAAAATTTAAATCACATTTGAACTATGGGGTTGCTACAATAATATCTTCAAAGGTTTAATTTGATCAATCACTACATAAACTTATAAAGTGTTGCAATTAAATCCTTAAATATTACAAAAGTAGAAACCAGCTCTAAACTATACAAGTATTACTACAATCAAACTTTCAAACTATAAGATAATTGCAATTTAGAAGAGAATTAATTTGTTTCGCAGTACACAACCCCATACAAAATTTTAACTTATAACTGTGATTATTATTGTGTTAATAAATTTCGTTTTTGAGATAATAATGTCACAATAGCTGCTGTGTTCAAATTGGCAGTATTTTTTTTTGGATGGAATCATTGGATCTGTAATGTGTGCGTTTGCATAATAAATACTCAAACCAACTAATAGAATAGAGCCACGTATGCAAATGGGGCTTCTATATATATACAGGGCAACATCTAACTATTTCCGTTGGCCTATAAATTCGAGTGGTAATTCAAACGGAGYTTCCTTCGCGAAGAGGGAAAACGAAGAAGATGAACCATAGCCAGCAAGGGACAGAGGGCAGGCACGACGATGACGCAGCGCTTTCCGAGTTTCTAGCATCCCTAATGGAGTATACTCCCACTGTAAGATCTCACTACCATGCTTCTTAACTCGGAGTCGCTCGTTTCCCTGCGCACGCTTTACTGAAATTTCAGATCATCTTTTCTTTCTTTCGTTTATCGTTTATAGATTCCCGACGAGTTGGTGGAGCATTACTTAGGGAAGAGTGGATTCCAGTGTCCCGACGTTCGATTGTAGGTATCTTTTCGTTTGTTTAAAGTTTTCGTTCATCAAAACCCTAGGTTTAGAACGCCGTGTTTCGACCGACGTATCAGATGAATATATATTTCTCCTAATGTGGTGATTGGTATTACTTTCTTTGCACAACTTAATAGTAATTGGAGCTTTTTTCATTCAATTGGTTGGTTGTTGACTGGTAGTATCGATCAAAGTGAAGCCTAATTATGCCGTGGGTTGCATTTAGGGGATTTCTTATTTTTTTAGTATTTTTGGTTCTAAAGAAGCAACGTTCCTTGTTGCTGATTTTTTGTTGGGAACTTGCTATCGAACATTGCTCAACCTCTATGGCCTAACAGGGATGATAATTAGTCCCCGCCTCATTCACTATAAAGAATTGGGGACAGGATTTGGGATCAGGGTTTCCGGTGGTGAAATTTTTTGATATATAGTTTGTAAATCAGACACGATATATACTAACACGGTTTGCTCTGTAATAGTGCTAGTAGACACGAATATGGCCTTTTTGGTTTTTACAGTGAAATTCAGTTATGGCGAGTTGCGACCACTGATGCCGACTTTTGACTTTTTGTTGATGAGCGATGTTTTTAGTGGCTGCATTTCTTTTCCAAACATTGTGCACTGGCAGGGAGTAGCAAAATTAATCTATCTCAGAGAACATATCTCATATAATGCAGCATTACTTTGCCATCTTTGTAATTGAGCAGCTGTGATTATTGCTTTGAAGACTTGAAGTTATTGAACTTTCTTCAGTTCTTTTCAAATTATTCTTCTTTTCTTGTCTGTCATTTCATTTCTTACTTTTTTCCTAAAGTTACAAGTTTAAATTTTGCTAAATGGAGAAAGATGTAATTCATTTGAGATCCTTGACTATTACAAGATGAGTTCTTTAAACTTGGCCTGGTTAATTTCTTTGTATGTGATACTCAGTTTTAATTAGCATTAAATATTTTCACCTCAACCATGAAATGTGTTATGTTCGTAATGTAGAAATTGTCTTTCTATTTCTTGTGAAGACTGGTTGACATTGTTTTTAATAGAGCCTTACTTTTGCAGGATCAGGCTTGTAGCTGTTGCCACACAGAAGTTCGTTGCAGATGTTGCAAGTGATGCGCTCCAGTAAGCTTGTTTTCTTCTGATAGCTTTTGATGCATGTATAAAAATGCATTTTATTTATTTCTCTCTCCTCCCACAGCCCTTGTCTAAAAGCTTACATACTCCCATTTTGCGGAGAGGTGCATTTAAAACATGTTCATATTTTGAAATGAAGATCTTTTCATTATAATTATGTAATCAGGAGAATGTAATTGGTTAATATGATGGGATTGACTTAAGAGTTTGAGAACCATACTTGCTGAAGGCAATCCTATGCTACAAAGTAGTAGACTCTTTTTAAAGTGCTACCATCACTTAGCTAGGAGAGTAAAGTTCTTGCCAAATTTTTATTATCCAACCTGCTCTTGTTGACTTGGAAAAGGCCTCCCACTTGACCAAATGAGACCCTCGTTCCTCCTCAACTCCCTTCCACAAAAAGACAAAGAAATCCTAAATAAGGATAGAAAATAAATAGGATCCCATTAAAGGTGATTGAACTAATTTTGATCTCTTCCACCCCTCTGAGACCCATAAAAGATAAGTGGTCCTAAATATGCCATGGGAAGTGAAGAAACCTCACATCTCAACGAACAATCCCACCTTTCAAGCTTATCAGGGTTGTAATGAAGAGACCGATAATTGAACATCTCTTCCTGTGAATCCCAACGATTAACAAACTATAATAAACAGCTATTTAAAGAACAATTTACCCTTAGTAACCCTCTACATCTGCCCTCATGCACCTATTGATCGTTCTTCTTCAACCGCAATGATTGCCTTTTCCATTATTGTTTGGCAGGACAATTACCTTATTTCTATGCTTTTCTTTGTTCTTGGGGAGATCTTTTGTGGTTTTTGCACTACTCTCCTAACAGTTGGTATTTGTAGCTGCTTGAGTTGGTAAGAGTACTAAAGTAGTATAACTAATTTGGTTGTGCAATGTAGGCATTGTAAGGCAAGACAGGCATCAATAGTCAAAGACAAAAGGGATAAACAACAAAAGGTGCATTTTTCATAACCCTGGCTCTCTTGATTGACAAATTATTTGGCCAGTCTAACATTCAGCTGGTACAGGATAAGCGCTTAATATTGACCATGGAGGATCTCTCGAAGGCACTTCGTGAGGTAAGCTCTAAATATTATATTTATCATCTTTTTTCAATTATTAGGCTCTTGCTTATGATGGACAGTTCATATACAAACGTAGGAGATGAGTAGTTGATTTTGGTACGCACTCTGGGTGGCTTGGGAAGCTTGTTTTGGTTAAGAAACATTCGAACATCTGCTCAATGTCACTTCATGCTTCAAAGTTGAAGCTGGCAGGAGAATAAGTATTGTGTTCTGCCATAATGTTTGTCTGGTTTATTTGTGTTGTAGATTCCTGGCAGGCTGTAATCAGCTGGTGGAGAATTTGTGATTGTTTCTTGTTCAAATTTCATGGTGCATCACAGTTCCTACTCGTTGGGTCATCTTAGGAATAGGACATGGGTGTCAAACTGATGTTTCTCATTTTATTCTTATTGCATCTTAATACTCTTTTGGGCATAGACACTTGAGGATCTAGTTCCTTATCCACAACTAACTGTCTTTTTGGTACTTGATGAACAGTATGGCGTGAATGTCAAACATCAAGAATATTTTGCTGATAGCCCTTCGACTGGAGTGGATCCTACTTCCAGAGAGGAGTGAGTTGGAACTGGAAACGGCTAAAATTACTTTCCTGTCGTCATGAATATACTGATGCATAGTTCAGGGTTGTTGAGTATTCTTGCTGTACGGTTACAGAAACTGTAGCTAAAATTTAGTCCCTGCCATGCACATTCATGACTCATGTTGTACATTATAGCATTACTTTGAACATCAAGTTTAAGTAGCTGTGTTTTCCTAGTCAAATTCTGCTACTACTATAGTGAAAACACCCATCTGAACCATCATAGCCGTAGATGTGTTAATTAAACTGTGCAAAATGAAGCCAAAACTTCATTCTTGTCCATACCTGGCCATGTAAAGATGGCAAAACCATATGGGACGGGATCAAGAATGCATTCCTCCCCCACGAATCACAACTTCAAATTAACAGCCCTTTTTTTTTTGATCAACTATTGCAGGGCCAGGATGAAACTATCTTTCTAGGTGTTTTATCCACTTAGCTAGGTTCAAATTACAAGGATCACAAGCCTTATCATAGGGAAAATTTTATTTGTTTTAGGATACGAAGATTATAGCCTCAGCCTCAGGGTTTACTGAAGCAAGGAAGCAATTAGGAAGACTATTACACGTACACCCATAATGTATATGATAATGGCTTATCTTAGTGACCAGTTATTGCAAATCACAAGGGGATGAATGGATGATAGTGACATTTGCAAAGTTTGCTTTCAATAATGGGTAGAAACAGATTCATCTGTTGGTTGTGAGAGATTTGGAGCATAGATTATAACTAAACAATGAGGGCTGAAAATTGGTTTTGGGAGGATGAGTTTGAGTTGTATTAAGATGGCTCGCTCGGATATCTTTACTGCAGGTTCTCTCTCATCTGTTTGTTCTATAAGAAAAATAAGTGTTGATTGCTCGAGATCTATAAACCTGCAAACTACCAACAAATAAAATTTGACAGTTTTTAATTTTTTGGAAAACAGAAAACATATCTTCTCTCCCTTAAGAATGACAACTACCCATACCCACCACGGTAAAATATCTAAATATTATTATGAATTTAATTTGATAAATAAAAGATGAGTACTGCTGACTAGTAGGTACCTAAGTAATAATAGGTGCCACGTCTGTATTTTGGGATTAATATAATTAAAGTACTGTTTGTGGTTCACTTCACTTTACCCTTTTCTTCCCATCTGTGCTTGATTTTAAATTTAATTGCTATACTTCCAAATTTGGTGCCTTGATATTTGTTAACACATATCAACTTTTTTGTTAGTAGCACATTCTTTTTATTGATGTGGGAGAGACGAGGTGAGATGAGACCGCTGGGAGCAACTAACTAATAAACACAATCTTAAAAGAACCATTTTATTTTTAGTCTTATGTTTTTAAAAAATTATGTTGGTACAATTTCATTAGTAAAATTTTCACCTCTCTTGGACAACATATTTATATTCTTAGACAAATTCTAAAAACAAAAGTAAGTTTTTGAAAACTATTTCTTCTTATTCTTTTTTCTTTTTCCTAGTTTCAAAAGGAAAAAAAAGCTATCTTTTCTTCTCAATTGGCATAGACTTTGAAAATGTTATATAAAAATGATATAACAAAAACAAAGGAACTAAGTGAAAGTAAAAGTAATGTTTGAAAGTTTAAATTTTAAAAAAGAGCAAAAAATGAAATAATTATTAAATGAGTCTAGACATGCTTAATAATACAAAAGTGAAGAAATTGTTCACATCTAATAGTAGTAGGAAAGATTAAACTAAATCATTACGTTAATTTGATAAATTTTTTGGGTGAACAGAAGTTTGATGCTGTGGTGAATGACATAACGATCCAAGCGGATAGGTCCAAATACATAATCTTGGGTGTCAATGGCTGTTCTTACAAGCCTCTTATACTGAGACTATGGCTGCTCACATGGCCTGTCCTTTGTAATTGTGGCAGCTGCTTGGATTCTCGAACCCCAAGTAGACTTCCTTTGAACTTGATCTGTACTCTGTCAAAGACAACCATACTCTCAATATCATCATATTAACTGTCCGCTTTTACGTTTAATGCTTTATTTTTTGTCTCACCTAAAAGACTCATGGATCACTCAACTTTGTTTTATTGTTTTCCAATCTCGACTTGTTCATGTAATTCAGCTCTTAATACTTCCCCTCGCTCGTGGTTTTGAAAACTTAAAATGATAACACAGAGATTCGAAGATAAGATTTTGCTAATAGCACGCTAAATAATCAATGGGACTTTGAGAGTTTTCTTCCATTCATGGTCACATCCTTTCCTCCGGTAAGAGTTCCTTTAGTGTCTTCGACAGCTCTCTTTTCTAGGGGTTTCTTCCAATCGAAGAGGGAAGTCCGACGCTTCCTACCTCTGTTTCTCTCTTCGGATCAAATTAAATCATATAACTATTTTCTTCTCAGTATATTTTTCTTTTCCGTATAAAAAACCATAATTCTGTATTAAATTCTGATATTTTCCTTGCTTTTGTGCATGGGGAAAGCCTAGATAAGGGCATCCCAAGAAACAGGGGCTAAAGATGTGGTCCGCACATATTGGGGGAAAGAGTAAAAGGTAAGTTTTTTTGTTCACTTTATATTATTTTTTTCTTAATTATGTTATGGTATGAAGATTTATTGCTTAATATTTTCTTTTATTTGTCTAATGTTTAATGAAAATTTATGAGTTAATAATTTGTTATGAATTATTGATGAGGCAGAGGCAACCTTTTTAGTAAATCTTTCATATAATTTATTTTTAAAATAATTATGAATTTAGTATTATTCTAGAAAAATTGTAACGACAGAGGGTAGAATCAGTCATTTAAAATTAGAATTAGAATTAAAAGAAAATATTATTTTTTTTCCTTTTTATTGCAGAAAGTCTTTTAAAATTAGAAACTAAAATCAAATTTTCAATAAATATTTTGGCGTCTATTAGTCTATGTTTGTCAATTACGCAGTTCTATTTTTTTTCCTTTAATCGTGATGGGCTGGCTTGGGCTTGCAGACTAAAATGGGCTACGGACAGAAAAAGCCCAAAGTTGACCAGGTCAGCGAAACGGTTAAAACTCATTTATAATTTATTTTATTTTATAAATTCTCTGTCTTCGTATTCAACACGCAACCAATTTGGGTTCCCGCCTCTCTTTAACGACAACTATGGCTCAGTCACACTCCCATGGCGGGAACCCAAACCTTCCACAACCTTCTCTTCTTGCATTCAGTGTGATTCCTTCTCCAGATTTCCTATCATCTAATGGCGCACTGTTGTTTTGCATTGCTTTGAATCATCACCGCAAAATTTCCAGAGCCATCAGAGCCTGTGGGCTGCCTGTTGAGGTTAGTTATCTCGGGTTTGTTTTTCAATTCTATTTTATCGGTCACGAAACTGATTAATCCGATTTGTATTTAATCCGTCCGCCAAATATCCGCGATGGGTTTTCCCAGATAATATGTGAATTTAGGGCCGATTAGTCCAGTTCGAAAAATGAAGACAATCAATCCGCCTTGGTGAGAGCAATGTACATGTCGATTTATCTTTTTTGATAAAAGCAGTGTTCGAATTTCTCTTCGCAACCTAACCATATTTTTCTCTTCGATTGTTGGTTGTACAGTGTCCTTACACGCGCTTCTATGGATCGCCTGGTACCAGAAAAACCACCATTTCACTCGCGATTTACCATCAGCTAGGTCAATTGTTACTGTTTTTGAGGCGGTAATAAATTTATGTTTGTTAGTTCAGAAACCCTTTTCAAAAGTCTCTTGGATTCTCTGCGTTGAGGTTTCTCTTGTTTTGAGGAGGTTGCAAAATTTGTTGGATGTTTTAGAATCATTGCTAAGAGATATCTTGGATTGTATGCATTGAGGGGAAGTTAGGTGGGGAATTAGGTTTTTGAATCTAAAAATATTTTATAGCCTCACCATCATGATGATTAAATGCTAGTTATCAGGAGTCGTGAAGGCTTTTGCTTAAAGCATCCATGATTTCTTGTTACACAATGAAACCCTTCAACCTACTTTTATTATTAAAATGTCCAAACATTTGTATTTGAAAGATCTTTTAAGAAGTTTCTATCTGATATATAAAATGTTTTTTGTAGCCCAAAACTTTACGAGTCCAGAGTTTTGGAGTTGAATGTAAATGGTGATTACTGCAAGGTAAATATTGTTTGGACTGAGATCAAAACCTTTTTGGTGTTGCAGTAGGCAATGGCTAGCTTCAATGGTAATTCTATTAATCTTAGTTACTATTTTTATAATATTCCCTTTATTAGTGCAATTTTATTTTTTTTATTATTATTAAATATAGGGTTATCTTTGTTCATTAGTCAAGATAATCATTCTCGATGATGCTGGTTCAATGACTGAAGCTACTCAGGTGTGGTCAGTCTACATATGATCTGTTTTCTTAATTAGAATTACCATGAACTTATGTATAATTAATTTTGTTTTCTTTCATTTTGTTAAGTATAATGAATTTTGTTTCACTTTGTAATTCTTAGTTTGAAGTCCATTTTGGTTGCTTAGCCTCAAGTCGGAGTAGGCGGAGGGACGACTAATATGAAGATTGGTGCTGAACGCGTGGCCGCTCTGTCTATGTCTCGATATCCCATTCCCATCTGAGTGCTTTCCTTTCCCAACTATGAGGTTTGACATTAATTTCATTCCACTAAAACTTTTTTCTTATCCTTCCCTCCTTTTTCGGGTATCAAAGGTGAGGTTGAGGGAGATAGTCGTTCTTTGTATTTGGTGCTTCATGGTCGAAGAGAGGTTGATTTAATCTTGAAATCGTTCAAATGAGTGGCAACTATCGAAAGGCATGTGAACACGGTTCATTTAACTTTCATCCTTTAATGAATCATATAACTGCAATGCGTAGGTGGTATTAGGCTTTGCTGGCATGTTTCAATTCCTTTTTCGTTTCTACACGATCTTCTCTATTAGTGCTTCACTTTTACCTACTGTTGGTTGTAATTTTGAATAATCATACAAGGTGACAACCCACATGTATCTGCATCAGCAAATAATAATTACTACTAATTTTAATTACAGGATATTTATCAAAAGAATTTATCAGGTAATATTTAACCTTTTGTGCTAACATTAATTTTTCATCTATCATGGGTCTTCGCTTTATGCTTTTTCCTGAGAACTCTTTGCTTTGCCTTTTTTTTTTTTATTTTTTATTGTTTCTAGTGTCTTTGTAATGAGATTGGTGCTTAGAATTTAACAAGATGAGATTTATTAATAACGTCAAAGTTTTGAATATTTTTGCGTGACGTTTTCTAACTGGAGTTAATATTATTTAGAACACATTTTATTTTAAAATATTTACTCTAAATGATAACAAACAAAATATTCTCTATGTACTAAGCACACAAATATGATTTGTCTGTTCTGAAATTGTTCTATTTGCCTATTCTTATCTTTTTTTGCAATTAGTTATCTGTTAGGCCCCAGTTGTTAATGCTTACACGGGGGAGGGGGAGGGGGCGTACAAAGGGAATTCCTCACCCTTAGTTAGTAGTAGGTACGGAAAGTAGGGGAGAAGAATATATTGTAGGGGAAGGCCTCAGAATTGGGTATGCTTTTTGTTATCGTGGAAGTGGGTGCTAGGTTACCAGGAGAGATTCTCAGCCCTTTCTAATTGTAGTATGAGGCTTTTTCGGTGATACTTATAGCTAATCCATGAGTGCTTATGCTCAAGATGGACAATATCATATGAATGTAGAAATGTTTATCCAAAAAAAGTTGAGGTTGGTCCCTTGTCCATAACCAGTGGTATCAGAGTCATACCCCTAACTAGATGGACTATGTGGGTAAAATTCTCTGGTGCCAAACAAAATGGTTGGCGTTGGCACATTCGTGGTTAAGGTATCAGACCAGTGGTATGCTCATGCGAAGAGGACTTGCATTTCCATTGGCTAGATAAGGGGAAATTCATTGGTACATAAGTGATGGACAACATCTTCATTAGTACGAGACTTTTTGGGTGATACCTATAGCTAATCCATAAGTGCTTATGTGCAAATGGACAATATCATACGAACGTAGAGATGTTGAGGGTGGTCCCTTGTCCCTAACTTGTGATATCAGAGTCAACCCATAACTTAGCCATGTGGGTAAAAAACTCTGGTGCCAAAGGCGGGCGTCAATACATCCGTGATTAAGGTATTAGACCGGTGAAGAGGACTTACATTTCCATTGACTATATAAGGGGAAGTTCATTAGTGCATAAGTTAGGGAAAACATCTGCATTAGTATGAGGCTATTTGGGTGATACCTTTAGGG